CTATCAGCTGGAGTTCGACGGCGTAAAATAATTTTCTCTAAACTTATCACACATTATTTCAAATTCTCTGTTCTTGTCACGGAGAGAGTCCATAGTCACAGACTTCTGTTGAAACACGAAGAAAAAGTGTTACTTTATCTTCTCTTACAACATAAAATTTAATTTTAAAAGCAAATTATAGGAATTTGTAGGCACTGCTCAGTGTTATGCCAGACTGGGGTGCGCAAAGGATCACGGGAAGTCAGATATCCTTCATGCAATGCAACCAGTAAAACGAGCAAGAGAAACGACTGGGTACGAGTCTGGTGTTATTCAATATTTCCTTGATGTTCAAATCAAAAAAGAAAAACATCTACAAGTCTTTACTTAAAAACCATAAAATGACGCGCGCGTCTCTGTCCTTTGATATAAACACGGTTGGAAAACACGAGAGAAGCAAGCTTAGAAACACGGTCGCCAGCCAATCAGAGCGCGAGTTATATATCAAAAATTTTATAAATTTTAAACAGTAAAAAAAGAGATAGGCAAAATTTACTCACATTGTACTCGTGCGTCTTTTCCATGGTAAGAAGGCGTCTBGAGATATTCGTGAATAAGTTTTGCTCGCTGTTTGCCACAAGTCGAAAGCATGGATGATGAGGGACTTTGCTGTCRGAATAACTGAACGAAACAAGTACACTTTTATTGTTTGAACATTTTTAAAAAGAGCAGAGAAATCTTTGTAAATAGGGTAGAATGTTTTGTACGCCTTGTTTCATGGTGCAGAATGAAGAAGTGTCCATCATTTGCTGGATGTATTAAGAAAAGACATAAGAAAAGACCCTTTTTAATAAAACTTTTGGCAACACTCAGGGACTATCTATCGCTGACTGTTGTTGCTGTAAACACCATAACACATTTCAGGGGGGGATCCAGCTGATGGGTGCAAGGGATGCGCACCCCCTCCTCATGTCTGTATCCTTCAATATTTTCCTTATTTGGTATCTTAATGGTAATGTTTGTGGGGTGGACTCCCTCCTGAGAGCCCCCCACCCCTCCCTGTCTTTTATTTCTCTGATTTGTGAGTTTTTATAAAAAAGCCCGGAAATCCAGTGATTCATTTTTTTATGCGATCCCCAAAGCAAGACTACMAAGMAGTCATTCTCGATTCTTTTTACAGGATTAATGTTAACTTTTGCATATTAGCGTGAACACTGCTTTGACCAGAAATGGAGAAACGTTGTGCACAAATTATCGGTGGTCACACTTTTAGAGTTACGGCTCTTTTCATTGTGGAACCTAAGAATTGAAACTAGCATCTGGCTGTGGTTAGGAACCTACCTTGGTTTGTAGACAGGTAACCAAAATACAAGCCGACCATTTAAACAGAGATACTGTGACGAGAAGTGCAGAAGACTTAGTATAATATCTGATAACCGTCCAAGGTGTATCGATGGATAACCAAGTTCTGCATCTGATCTGGTGACCGATGACAACACTGATTATTAATGGTGACTAATAACAATTACAGAATGAAGGAAATTACATGAACGCTCATCAGAGATACAAATTTACCCTTTTAATCTTAATTAACYGTAATCTGACCATAACACTAATCCGATCGATCCAACCCTATTACGACCGAATACGACCCTAAACCTAGTCCTACCCTATTACAA